AGGCTGAAGCGGCAGTGAAAATCGCCAAAATAATTCTAAAGAAAAATGTGGAAGACCCTTATTTAGCGCTTCTAGCCTATCGAACGACACCCCTCTGGAATGGGTTCAGTCCCTCTCAGCTTCTTATGAACAGGCGATTACGGAGCACATTGCCTCAGACAGGACATTTGCTTGGTGGCAAACCAGATCTAAAGGATCTTAAAGGGAGAGAAGAAACATATCGTGAGAAGTACAAACACAACTATGATAGAAGGCACAAAGTGCAAACTCTCAATCCTCTTCATATAGGAGACCCAGTTTGGATTGTGGACCTCAGAAGACATGGCAAAATTGTGAAAATCCTGGACAGCCCTCGTTCATATATTGTTGAAACTGATAAGAGGAATGTGAGAAGAAATCGATTCCACCTCAAACTTGCCCCTTATTTAAGAGAGGAAAACAGTGAACAAAATTTGTCAGCGAATACACATCAAACAGAACCATACAACCGTCCAAAGAGAAATATACACAAACCAAGCTGGTTGAAGAACTTTCAAACTTAAAAGGGAGGATGTTGTGAGAACAGTTTATTTCATAACACCTGTTAATTTCTATTAATTATTATCATATGTTTATTTGTTATTCTATGTTTGTAAAAAGGTAAATAAAGTTAGTTGAGTTTGAATTATGACATAAAACAGTGCATTCACTTAATTCTTAGTAAAATAGTACAATATCTATGTAAATGCTTGAAAAGTAACACAATTTATTTACACAATTTTAATATTTAAAGATTAGTTTACAGCACTTCACAGCCAGACATTACGCGGCACTCCAGTGCTGCACCTGACACATACAGTACGTGACCTTTTCTTCACTTCTGGGGGGTTGAACCTTTAACAGGTTCTACAAAGCTTTTTTGACTTATTAGGAAGTTTTCTCAAACCGAACCCTTGTTGGGGACCATCACCCCCACCTTGCTCATGTGCTGGAGTACACTTTGTTGCAAGCCATTGTTTTGACAAGTTATCAATCACTAACACTGTATTTGCAAAGCACTTTTCGGACGAAAGATGCACAACTATATATCATCGCAAAGCACTTTTTGGACAAAACGTGCACAACAATATAGTGTTGCAGGGCACTCAAAGGGTTAAAGGAACATCTGAACAACAATTTCTGTACGATGAATCATTTTTAAAATGTAAGAAAAAATTCCAAAAAGAGCAAAATTTGTGTTGTTATTCGGCTCCCAAAACTCAAGCAGACTACAGAATCAATGGCAAACTCACAGGACTCTTATTTGAGACCCCCAAAAGGTCTTAAAAAACTTTCCAGCTTTACAAGAATGTTTGGGAAGCATATGTCTAATTTGCCTGGGCTACAACTATAAGGGCTGTTCGGAAAGTAACCTCCGTTTTTCTATAATAAAAAAAAAAACACAGAAATAGAAATAACATTTAATTTACACCCTTAAACTGCGTCTTTCACCTACTTTTCATGCAGAAGGACGACGCCAAATGACAAAAGAACGCGGCGTTTGTTTTGAACCGCCGGTCTTAGGTTCTTCAGAATTTCAATGTACATCACTGAACATTGAAACTCGCATTCGTTCTCATTGATTGTTGCACCACGTTCCATAAATTCAACCAGCATCCCTTTGAAGTCCCAAAACACAGTTGCCATGAGCTTTTTTATAGAAAAATCTTGCCGGGCTTTTTTTTGGTTTGTGTGGCGATGCGGTATGAGTCCACAACTTGGAATGTTCTTTAGTTTTAGGATTCACATATTTGACCCAGGTTTCATTGCCAGTCACAATTTGGTTGAAACAATCCTCCTTCCTTGTCATGTGGAGTCAAAAAGTCGTTGAGTCTTGTGGTTTTCCAAAATGATTTTCAGGACCCACCGAGCACAACATATTGGTAATCTAAACTGTCAGTCACAACTTCATACAGAACAGCCCTAGAAATTTGTCGGAAAGTTCTGAGATGGTGAATCATTGGCTGCCACAAATCTTTATGTTCATTTTCTTAACCAGTTCATCACTGAGCACAGATGTTCGTTCGGCCATTTTTAAACGAGCTAAACCATTCCCAAACAACTCCTTCACTCATTATTTTAGGTCCATACACAGCCAAAGTTCTCTATGAATAGCTGCTACCAAATACTGTTTAGCTAAGAAAAACCAAATCACAGCACGCACCTCACACTTGGCGAGATTTTAGATTGCAGTACCCATATTGACTAGCTATGGCAAAAAAAAAAAAAAAAAAACTAGCGATCAGACGACCTTTACACTACCACGGCTGGACACCGACTGACCTATGACGCAATCAGGCGCAAGAATGGCGGCGCTATCCCCTCCACTTCCCATGCAAGAAGCAAACGGAGGTTATTTTCTGAACTGCCTTCGTAGTATAACTTAAACTATTGTTTCCTAAGCATTATTTTCAGTACCACAGGACAACAAATGGTGTAGTGGGGCAGAAAGGCGTGGGAACGGCCCATTCTGCATTTTTGAAAATACTCTATAACAATAGGTAAACAGCTTTTTCCTTGAGACGATGGTGAGCATTCCTGCGCTGAAAGATTTACCACTACATCACTGCACAGGACATATATTTTCTTATAGGTTTTACTATATTTACTGGTTTTTCTTTTAACAAACTCTTAATGTGCATTGGAGGTGTTAGAATACTATTGAGACGGTATTTTTACCTTAGAATCTGGATCAGCAACAAATGTGAAAAACAATATTCCACATGTTTTAATGTTATGTGTTTAATTTGTAGAGGTTTTACTTTTATCAATGTTTAACTTCAGTTTCTGGTGCCTGTGTGATGCAATGTGTTTGTTTCATACAACTATTTATTTGTATTACTGAAGAGCAACTTAATTTGTAATGAAAAAGAGAATTTTAAAATGTTTTTCTAATTGTAGTTCACAAATGCACACAATTTTAGTCATTAAAATTGTAGGCAAGTACCTTTTGCACTAAAGAGCACTATCAAATATTAAACTTAAACTCGTTTTTCATTGCATTCACTCACATAAAACACTGAACATTTTATTTTAACACATTCACAATGTCAGATTAGATACACAAAGACATTATTAAATACAATGTTTAGGTCTATGTTTTAAAGCTGCTTTGTAGACCATGACGACTACATTGACTAGTGACTAATCAAGTTATCTATATTTTTTTATTTCTTCAATGAAAAAAGATGCTATAAAGATGCTTCATAGCAGTGTTTTCCAACCTTTTTTTCTTGGCATATTACTTCACAAGACAAAAAAAAAAGTGAGTATTGTTTAATTACGTGGTAAATATGAATAGAGTAAAAATAGTAATTAATTATTATTTTGCTAACCTAACTAACCCATTTCCCAACATAAGTAGTAATATTTCCGGAAAAGATCATATTTACCCAATTACTGAACACCAGGCGCAAGAGTTTTCATCTTACTCACAATACTTTAGTGCTTTACTTCAAGTCTGTCACTTAGACAATCTTGCCTTCTATCTAAGATCATGTTCACTAACATAGTTACCAACGGGCCATTAACTACTTAACTGATACACCATCCCAAACAATCCTGACATACTGGATAATACTGAATAACTTCTTAGTGAACAGAGTATGTGATATTAAATTTACAGAGAGTAAATAAATACTTATAGTAATACTTGAAACGTACATATATACCAGTGGTGGCACTTCCATAAGGGCCAAGTGGGCCGGGCCCACCCAAAATAATCAGTAAAGTACATTTTAAAATACTTGATAGGTTATTTGGTTGATATTATAAACTGTGATGTAAATTAATTTTGAACTTTCAATGGGTCATAACTTTTGTTGAAATACAAATGCAGTAATCTCATAACACATTGGAGGGCCTCGGATTTTGGGCCCTTCTAATCACCATAAGAAGGTAACAAGATGACAAATCACCCAACAAACATTCCACATTCCCCCCCTCGGTACTTGCAGTGTTGTTTTTGGCTGCCACGGGTTCACTGCATACTTGCATACCAAAGCAACTGGACTTTCCCTTTCCCCACCCCCAGCGTTGTTTGTGACCCTTACGGCCACAAGCAACCCTCACTGAATGTGCAAAAAACTCGTATTTGAGGTACTTCCGTCCATCCAAAAATCTAACTATTTTACCTCCAAACTACTAACGAGTATATTATCTATTCTTTAGCTAGAATCTAACTGAGTAGAAGCTATTTCCAGTACTTTTTAATAACTAACAAATATTATAGAAGTTAGCCGAGAAAACTAACGAATATCACTAATCGTTAGAATTTCTATTCGTTATTCCAAAGTATGATGATAGATGTAATAAGTAAAAGATGCATAGAGATTTTAGGTACCCAGAACCTTCAGTTTTATCTGTTGGTTCAAAATAAACAGTAAAAAAAATCAAGTTGTATTCCCATACCTATATTTGTGGACCGGCTATTGTGAACCAAGGGTTTGGTCCGTGTCCTAAGCAGGGTACCGGATGTCTATGCTACTGCCACTCGACTGATTTCAAACTAAAGGGGACTAGGGAGCCCAATAGAAACAAGTAATTTTGTTAAAATATTATAAATACAACTAAATAAATGCGTTATCGTAATTTCTCTTAATATTTCTATCGACTTGATACAACATTTAATGCTAAATTAACATAAATGTTAAAAGAAACCCCAATATCACATTGTTTTAGTTTTATTTGTAATATTAAAGAAACTTACTTGTTTCTGTTGGGCTCCCTATTCCAACATCAGTATTAAGAGACTGACTGGAGCTTGGGCGAGAAATATTTGGATTACTGACTCAACCCTTGGTTGTATAGCCAGTATAGCCAGTCCACAACTATACCTAAGAAGGAACTGATGTCATTGTGTAAATGTAGTGAGGAATTTCGCAATCACGATCTGTAATATAAAGTGCTAGGTGTGGTTGTATTATTGTTGTATTGTATTGTATTGGTAGACTTGCTTGCTTGATTTGTTTGATGTCACCTAGGATTCAATGGAGACAACACTACGTTTACGATGATGAGTAGATTGTACCATTGTACCTCGTAGCTCATGTGAGTAGATTGGACCTTCCATTCATTCATTCAACTATCACTATCCATTCATTTTGAGTTGTTTCACATAAACTTGAGGGTACAGTTCCGCAGAGAACTTGCATTATATTATATGAAATTTTGTTCAATATAAATATCAATTTAAATATTTTATTCCATATAAATATTGAAAGAAAAATATCTATATATCTATATAATACGTGAAGCTGTTTTTTGTGAACACTACTACTCCCTTATTTGTGGACCGCCAACGTTTGAGATTTCAAAAAAATCGTCTCAATTTGCAGTTATGCAATAAGGTTTTTAGAATTTTAAAATTCTTACCCTTAAGGACCAAGGCGCTCCCAAAGGTTGATTTTTCCAAATAAGAATGTTAAGATTTATCTAACCTATTTAACAAATAGATCCATACTTTCAAGCTGTCGAAACATTGGGACAGGTATTAAGAGAAAATCCACTTGTACAACGTGAGAAGTGCGGTTGCTGGGCATGTACAACAACAAGTACAATACAACAAGATAAAAGACGTAACAATGACCAACTACCAATGATATTGCTACTATATTCAAATCAGATGATGGCTGCCCAGTTGGTAACCAAGACTTTGGTATACATAAAAATGGAGCTCCTGAGATGGTTGATAGCACCCCACTGTTCACAGTTGGATCCGATGATGGCCTATCATTTACTTTTCCCGTGCAGGAAAAAGAGTTTGTTTAGGAGGATGCCTCATATCGAAGAAGAAATAAAGTGACCCAACTTCAAATTTGCTTCACACAGTTTATCGGTAAGCCAACAATTGTCTTCACTTCTTCACACTGTAAAAGCTTTGTTGCAATATACTACAGATATGTTCATTTGAATTAAGGACAACGTGTAGCATTAGAAATAATCAGTCAACACTGAGAACAGAAATGTACGTGAACCTTCACAACGCAATTAGAGATATTTAAACTCAATTTCTATCAAGTTTCCAGAGAAATCTTATAATCTTACTGCAATTAACTTGAATTCAAGCAGCAAGTTTTCCTCAAAGTTGTGTTTCTTACTATGCGGTTCATTGAGCTGTGCAGGTTTCCTAGTAGTACTGATTTCCTGTTATGGGTCTTTTCAAGAAGAGGGTAATTCTTTCACAGTGTGCTGCGGTGATTAGGTTCTCTTGGGTGTGCTTTGGTTAGTTTGGTTCAGTAGTTTATGATAATGGCAAACAAAGTACCATTTACATAATTTACTCCTCGATGCTCACAAAGAACCAGAAAGTGCCTGCAAAAAAGAGGAAAAATGCCTCCACACATTTTTGATGATATTTTCCAAAATAATTATTTTATTTTTAATTTACCTTGGGCGGAGTTAGTATAAAGTTTATAATTTGTATTTAATCTATTATAACAGGAAGCAAATTATTGTAATTATTAAAATCAGAAGGCAAAGCAAAAGCAGCCAAAAGGGTGTAATAGCTATTATCTAGATCATAACACATCCTGATCCAACTACGTCACGGTGTCAGTCGAGTTCTAATCCAGGTACGCTAAGCAATTAACGTTAATTTTAATCTGCGATTCTCGCTTTTTGTAATAGTTACAAGCATTTACCCGTGGGCTTCGTCCCGTTTGACTTTATAAGTATTAATAAAACTCTTGATTGCCGTACCGCTTTGAGTGGAATTTTGAAAGGCTTAATGTGGACTTCGAAGAAAAATATTGGACTTAATTATATAACTATCAGGGCAGAGCCCTAGTAGAGTATTAAAATAAAAGCTGACTATATCCTTTAAGTCTGTGGTTATTTTGGCTCTACTCATAAAAGAGGTCTGCTCAGTTAGTCATGTTTCCACGTTATTGACATACTCCAAACATTCATATCTATAATATTAGTTCCTTTCATCCAAGTCAATAACTTGATCAGTAATGCACTAAAACTATTAACACGCTAATCCGTTTCCCAGAAATTTCTTTGGAGTAAAACAAACACAATAGTTTAAAAAAAAATTTGATTGGAAAAAAATGAATGAATTATGCACTAAAGAATAAAATCACCCAATTCACACAATACAAAAAATTATTTATTAAATTAAAAACATAAACATAACTTAACAGTTCTTATGTGTATCACAGCTTGTTGCTGCTTATAGTTCATTTAAATATTGCAGAAACCCCGTAACCAACATTTTTCGCAGTTGTGTGATTACTGTACCAAACGATGTATTTCAATTTGTACATCATTAATATACTAAAAAGTAAAAAATGTTGGTTATGGGGTTTCAACAATAAACTATTCAAATTAGCTGTTGTCATACATTCAACATCATAGAACCAACTTGTTTAACTGAAACAGCTGTTAAGATTCATTAATTCCTTTTAAATATGAACTAGAGCTCGCCCCATGGTCGAAAACTCGCCCAAAAGTATGTATTGTGCAAACTTCTCTATTTTCACCACACGCTGTAAATAAAACATGAGATTGGAATTTCTTCCATTTGTTTTCATTTTCTGTTTATATTTTGTTGTTATTTCGTCACCAACATGGCAACCCGTAAGGCCCATGTTATTTTTTAAAATTTTGATTAATTTGTTGTGCTTATTTTTTAGCCCATTTTAATTTATAAAGGGATTCTGCACATCTATAGACAAATATCTTGCTAACGGTATGCGTAGATTTTCCCTTCGATGCACAGGAGCTGAGAATAAAATTTTTTCAATAAACGTGCTTGTCTATAAATTAATATATAGAATTAGCCCCATGTTAAATGTCCATTAGAAAAGTTGAATTTCCATTTTTGACCCAATTAACATAAATATTCTCAAAATACAAATAAAACCTGCACTTATAGGGCCGATAACCTTTCTTTTGGTACAACCCGTGTGTAAATCGGTCCAGTAGTATGGTCAGGGTGGCTGTCTTAAGCTTAAAAATTTGGCCCCATGTTAAATCTCCATAAGAAAAGTTTAATTTCCATTTTTGATCCGATTTACATAAATATTTTCAAAATACAAATAAAACCTGCACATATAGGACCGATAACCTTTCTTTTGGTACAACCCGCTTGTAATTTGGTCCAGTAGTATGGTCAGGCTAGCTGTCATAAGTTTTGCAAACTTTTTTTAATATATAAGATATTCATAAGGTTAACATGGGAAACTCCAGAGCCACTGGGGTGGAGCCCAAAAGTCCAATCAGAATAAAAACTACTTAGTTTTCCTATTTAATGCCTAAAGAATCAGTGAACCAAATATCTGCCTCCTAGGTAAATGGGAAGTAGGAGATTTATTTAGTGATGAGTGAATCAGTCAGTCAGTCAGTGAGGGCTTTGCGTTTTATAGGTATAGATTAATTTGCGCTACATCGCGTTTTAAAAACCCAAAGACTTAAAAATTCATATTCAATACATATAACAATATTTATGACGTGTGAAAACTATGTCTGATGCTACATATATATCGGAACAATATTTCAACAGATAATATATCGTAGTTTCTCTGCGGAACTGTACCCAAACTTGATGTTTGGGCATGCTCAGTAAATATTTGAACTAGATAAAATATACATATTGCCATTCTCCAATTAAGGTCAAAAATCATTTTGTCACATGTCATATAATGTAAATTTGGTTTTCCACCGGATTTTCTATAATCTAAAATCATTGGAAATTAGCACAGTGAACCCCTATTGATAGGATTTATTTAATTCAAACAGATTATTCGGATTTCCACCAATGTATGAAACACACACTTACTTGTACTCACCTTGTCAATGCCTGTTACAACCTGTTTTTTACAAATGTGTAGCTGTATTCTTTTATTGAAAACCTCCACTTTATCAACCTTCCACACATTGTTATCGTTATGGTTTTAAATGTGTCCATTACTTTTTCAGTCTTTAGATGGTTCGCTAAAAAAATATTATGAGGGTAGTGAACAGTAGTAGGCAAGTCTACTGTATAATACAAGAGTAGAAAGTGAGTCATTATATATTTGAGAACATATGTATAAAGTGTGAGATTTATCACTTTAAATATGGTAGAGAATATGTAATAGCCCTCTTTCACTTGTGTTTTGGTTACTTTTTGCTACACTACAAAGACTAATTATTTTCTTAATTGAAACAAACATTAGATATTTTCTATTCTTGTTATAAAATATATTATACTAGTGTCCCTGTTGCTAGAATTCTAGCAATTGCTAAGTATTACAGGAGTTATTTTAAAACGAAAAACAGTCATAATTTCTGATGACTTTAAAAGATTCGACTCAAAGATTATGGAAATACTCAAAATGTAAATTACAGATCGATATAATCAACATTTCTTGTAAATATCTTATCATTTTTCAAAAGCTGATCTTGTTTTATAGTGTTTTCTACAAATAGCCTTACTCATAGCCAATTAGGTTGTCCATAATAAGGATTATAAATTCTAAAAAGAAACATTATTTCTATTTCTTCTCCTTGGTGGTGTTCCATGACTTTCCTATGTTTCCATAGTTTGCAAATTGGCTCTTTCAATGATTACTAAGAAATGCAGCACAGTGTTAATTCAGTTTTCTTTTTAGTATATCAATTTATCCAGGCTCTCTCGCTTTTTCCCATTGTAATATTTACGCCAACCGAAATTCAAATAGTAAATATTTCATTTCAACCAAGTAAGTAAATGTTTGTAGCAAACTGTTAAATTAGCAAACTTATTGACTATGTACAATTAACATATGTTCTTACTCTCACTTTCAATTTATTTCTGACAACAGCTGGGGTTTCAAAACAATGTTTGTTTCCCATGTTAATCTTATGGAGAAATACAAAACTTTAAAGGGCCTCAGGGCCTCACTCTCTAATTATTTCCCTAAAAAGAAAGTTTCCTGCACAACTTCACGTTACGCTCTTTCCAATGACACCAAAAACATTTCAATCGGTTCAGTAGTTTCAGAGGAGTAATTGTCACAAAAATCCTGCTTGCGTATTAAATAAGTACTAGTGTCCCTGTTGCTCGAATTTGAGCAGTTGCTAAG